GAGAAGGACGTCTTGCAGGAACCTCTTAGCACTGGGGGTCAGATGTAACCACAGCTCCAAGGGTGGATGCTATCACAACATGGGCAACAGGTTTCTCCTTGGCTGCTTTGTCAACATGTCCCAGTTCCAAGGTAGTAAAACCATCCTTCCTCAAGGGTACGTGGGGAATTCAAGGATTTGTAGGAGATTTTGAGGTCCTCAGAGGATCCAGTGGAGATTCAAGGTGGAGGGAGACCTCCCCACAGGGATGGTAGTCCTGGTGACTATTCCCCAATTCATTTGGACTTATATTTCAACAGTGCCTTGATGTTTCATCCACACTGGGCACAGGACCAACATACACAACGCCTGCTGCCCCAAGGGACTCCCATGCTGCAGCAGCCTGCAATTCCCCTTAACAGACCTTTTATTTTGCCCCGTTTCTCCCATCACTCCTTTTTTCCTCTGCAAAAATCTCATTGATCTCTCATGAAACAATGATGTCACTAACTATTATTAACCTGGTTTGTAGGCAGCCTGCTTCCAGCTACCATCCTGGTAATTGGATGACAAATCCCAGGGACGAGAGGACTCAGTGCGGCTGTCTAGGATGTGTGTCAGCTTCAACTCCTAGATCACTTCATTATCACCTGGGTGCTGCAACGGGAGAGCGGTGCCTTCGAGAGACACAAGGCTTTCTAGCAGTGCTGTGAGAAGAGACCCCATGCACAGACAGGAGACCTGGTCTTCTCATTCTGCTCTTACGCCCCAGGAAAGACAACAGCATGTATAAGTATCCCTATGATGCAGGCTGTGTTTTGCAGGGCTGGTAATTTCTGTAACTTTGTAAGCTCCCCCAGCTTCCCTGGGACCTCTCAGGGATCCTCACCTCATACAGGTGAAGGGAGAACGTCTGCGTCCCAGCTGGATCCAGCTAGCCAGCCTGTGCACCAGTCAGAGAAGCACTGAGCTCAGACTAGGGTCATTTACCCTGCTTCTTGGATGGGTTTTACAAGCAACCACTGAGCTCCATGCTGCCAGAGCTAAACTGGTACCAGATCCCAAGCCAGCGGGTCGAGAGCCGGTTTGGGAATGTCTACATTGCACTGCAGTTGCATTGGTGACCGCAGTGCAGGCTTATCCCAAATGCAGCCTAATACAAATGCTCCATCAGTTCTACCTGAGAGGCTGGTTTCGGAGGGCGGCAGCCCCATGGAAAGACACTTGCAGCACTTGGTGTTGAACTCCACGCGCCTTCCCTGAAGAGGCCTCGTTGCTGCCATAAGCTGACCTGGTGCCTCAATGCACTGGGGCAGTTCCAGTCTTTTCCTAGAGACAGTGGTCGGATGCTGCTCCCTCCACTGGGAAACAGGACAGCATGCCTGGGAGCCCTTTCTATAAACAGAGGCATAAATAAAACGTTGCTCTTAAGTGTGCAGCATTTCCAGGGCGAGATGGGCACTCTGCGATTTCCACTCCTGCATGAACAAATTCAAAATAATGATCTGAACTCCTTATTGCTATTTAACCCTTATAAAATGCCATCCCGCAGGGTCTGGCCCACCCCCATTGATGGATCGGGCTCCCACAGGAGCTTGGATATGAATGGATCAGGATATGAATGGGCTTTACAAGAAGCAGGTAAATAATGTCCCTGTCATACAGATGGGAGGAAAAAAACCTCCCTGTTCCACAGCTGAATTGATTACCATGACACAGCAAGACTATAGCAGGAGCCCTGGCTCTGTCTGCTCCATCCTCTCGCCTGCTTAGATAGTGCTGCCTCCCTTTCAGTCCTGCAAAAGCCTCTGGTTATCTGCAAGCAGTCGGGGATTGGGAAGTCCACTGATTTCCCAGAGGAAGGCAGGAGGGTTCGAAGGCATGCCCTGCAAAGGAAGGAAGGAACTTGGAAATGGATCATCATGCTGAGACAGACAAGCCGCCTGACTGCGGGTTCAGAGCTGTGGCGTCCCAAATTTCAGGTGCTCACCTGAAGTGCCTATAAAATTCCCCTACCCTCCTTTGCTCTGCCAGCGAGGCCTGCAGGCTTCAGGAGAAGACGGCAATTTGAGGGCTGCCAGCTGAGCTGAAAACACCGCTACAACGCAACCCCTCGCGACCTCCCAAAATATCAATTGCCACTCCCGTTAGGAAGCAGACTGAAAAAAATGAAAAGCCATGCAGCCGAGATGCCAGCAGCTTTTCTGCTTCACTGACATCATCGCCAACAGGGGCAGGCACATCTTTAACCTCTCCCTTCAAATCTGGGAATAGAGACGGATGGGCCCAATTCAGAGCCCTTGTGCCCAGGGCTCCTCCCCGCACCCACCCAAATTTTGGCACCGTGAACATGTCATCCCAAATCCAGATCTGGGGATTGCAGAGGATCATGATTGCAGAGGATCATGATGGGATTAAAAATCCCCCCCACAACCTTACCCTGAACATCCCCAAACTCTGCCATCCACCATGCTCTCTAGTATTAGAGCAGTTTTTAATACCATCTCAAGCCAAGCTGTCGCGTGATGAAATTTAGCCTGGAGTCAATTGCTGCAGCTGAGTTAAGAACTCCTGAAAATTGACAATGTTCCTAACATCAATGCCCATCAACATTAACAACAGCGATGTGAATGGCATTGCTCTAATTGGTTTTAACATGCCGGCAGGGCTGGCTAATGAAGAGATCCACATATCTATCTGCTCGTGGGGGATGCTTTACCCATATGTCATTCCCTGCGTATTGGACGTTTTGAAATAACGCTGTGATCCTTTCAAGTTTACTTACTTACAGGTGTCTGGTTCCCTTCGTTCTTGGCTTTTCTAAGTGGCCTCACTTCATATGAGATTTCAGGCTTTCATTTCCTCCTGGGTCTTTTGCTCTTGAAGGAGCAGCATTGACCTCCTCCTCTGTCCCCCAAATTACCCTCTCACCGCACCCAAGCGACATCTCCTCTGTTTGGAATTGGACGGCCTTTACCTTGCGCTCCCATGGTAGACGTGGCTATTGTGTGTGGAAAAGCAACAACGATCTCATATTGTGCCCTTATTAACAGTTAAAGCAATTCACCGCCGGAGGAATTAAATTCTCATATCAGCTACCCAACGCCCTTCACGCGCCCAAGCCATGTTGCTCCCAGTCAATCCATCAGAAGGGCAGGCAGGGAGGGCTGTATGCTAAGGTACTGGAAAATGGCTTTTTTTTCCCCTTAAAGAAAGAGGTGGATTGTTACCTAGTGCAACCCTGCAAAGGCTTATAGGCCTGTGGAGGTGCTTCGTGGACCAAAAATCTGTGCAATGGAAAGGAGGCATCAATAATGCCATCCAAGAGGGCTCTTCTGGAAAGACAGGACTCCCACGACAAGTCTCAGAGGGGTACAAGCCACGCTTGAAAATTTGTCTTGATTTCCAATGAGAGAAGAGCCTTGGAAAGGAGCTCTACATTCAAACTCCTCTGACCACACACCAGCCGACCCAGTCTTTGCAAATCCCAGATAGGAACAACGATTGCTCCAAACTAGAAGCCCTTGAGAAAGTGTCAGTCCAAACGTGGCCCCTGTCCCAATCCTGTCCGTAGCAGCCTCTGCGGACTAGGGAGCTTGCATTACAGTGGGTCTCAACCTCTTGAGGCTCAAGGCACCTGTCGTTAGACTCAAGGCACCCCTCGGAAAATGCCAGC